CCATATCATTAATAATTTTTAATTTTATTTAAAAATTTGTAAATACTTTTCAATTTTCCAGGCAAATTTGCCTGGAATACAGTTTAAGGGATAATATAAGATCTTTATTATCCGACTACTGGCCACCTTCGGATATCTCTTATGCCAGAGACCTGATCCCAGTCACGTGGAGGTCCCGTATCTATAGACTACGTCACGTATCATATCAACCGATAAACAAGGCACATGATTGCATTCCTGGGTACGTCCGAATTTGGGAGGTAAACAATGTCGATCTTTTGGAAGGGGTAAGCTGAATCGCTACTTTTTGTTAAAAATTTTGGAGAAGACCGACAGGACTAAGAGAAACTTAAAGGAAGGACCACTAGCACCCAAAGAAAGTATTTTATCCTTGAAAGAACTGACGACTAGTAACTCTTTTTCTAGGAAAGGAGAGAAGCTACTGTACTTAAATAGTAAGTGATAAACTCTAAACTTGTTAGCAAGTAGCGTATGAGAACTACTTCTAAATGACAAGTGCCGTGCCAGCGGTGAGTGATAAACTTTGAAGAAGTTAGCAGGTAGCATATGAAAACTACCTCTAAATAACAACTGCCAATTTATAGATTCCAGTTTTATACTCTCCATTACTTACTAGTTACTGTTTTTTACAAAAATTGTTTGGGAAATTTTGGTTTTAGTGATTGTCAAAAAGAGTTGCTTTTATAGTTTAAAGCTATTAGCTTATTAAATAATAAAAATATAATTGATAATTATAAATTATATATTACCAAATAGATATTTTTATTAATATGGAATAGGAGTTGAAAAAAATATAAAAAAGGTATTTGAATATTATTGTAATTGATAATATAGATTACTCATTATTACAATTATTGATTAAAAACTGTAGCATTTAAAAATAAGCCTGTAAAAAGTCTATCTTTTTGAAGAACCAATCTAAACCAAAAAAGGTGATAATCTAATATCTGTTACCAGATGTAACTAGATAGTTATAGAAGTATATACAAATTAGATAAATTAGATGATTATGTAAGAATGTCATTGATATGGGAGAAAATAAATAGAAAAAATGATATAGGAATTGGTACTATTGAAAAAAAGCAAAACTTTGCATTCTTTAGCTTTTTTATTTTTTGTTCTTTCTATTTTTGTATAAATAAAGTAGTAATTTACTATAGTTATAAAGACAGTAAAGTTTAAGTTTTAAACAATAATCACTTAAACAATTACTAAATTAGAATTTTGCAAACTATGATAAAAAAACTTACAAAAGTACTTCTTAGAAAATTTTTTTAGATTAACAATAAATAATATACTAATTTATCTCTGTATATACTTATTATAAAATTTTCAACTATCTTATTATTAATCTAATATAAAGATTAATATATTTTTTCTAATTAAAAAAAGAATTACTGATTTTGTTAATTGCTATATCAGGATGACAGTGAAGTTAATAAAAGTAATTTTGATAAAAACTTAATTTTGAAACAATTAAAAGAAAAAAGAAAAAAATAGATATTTTAAAACAAGTATAAACTAAACCTGTTTATCTAAATAAAACTTCTAAATAATTTATTTAACATAATTTTTTTAAAAAATCTATAACAATTTCTAATATAATTAATTTGAAAAAACTACCTCATCTAACAAAAATAATATTTATTTATTTCTTGAATCTGATGCTTTAACTCTATCTCTGTCTTCTCCATCTCCTAAACCAAAAATTAAAAACCAAAAAATAGTTTAAATAATAGCAATAAAGAGTCTTGTCTTTGGCAAGAACAATTATTAAATCATTACTTTTCTTACTTGCTGAAAATATGTCACTTTACTAAATAAATAAAGAAAAATTTTATTTTATATCTACTTAATATCTTAGTAATGGTAAAACAAGATCAAGTTCATAATAAAATCAGATTAATAATCAATAAATATATAAAAGAATACTTGAACAAACTAGAAAAAGAACAACAGCTTGGCCTTTTTTTAATGAAATAAATGATATATTTAGAAATCATGAAAATGTGAATTTAGACTATTTGATAAATAGCACAGGTTAGGTAAATATTACTGTAATATAACTATATATTTGTATATATATAGGAGGCTAGTAATTATACCCCAAATTTTGTATTTATATCTTTAGAAAACCAAAAAATTTTAAACTTCAAGCAAAAATATCTTGATGCCCACCTGATCAAACTTGATGAAAAATTTTTTATTTAAATTCTGCAAATTTATAGAATTCAAATAAAAAAATTTTTATTGAATTTAATCAGGTGGTTGTCAATATATCTTCATTCAAAGTTAGAGAAAAATCAAAATATCTAACAAAATAAAAGCTATGCTGAATCAATTTTAAAACTTTGAATAAAGATATCTTGACAACCACCTGATCAAACTTGATTAAAAATTTTTATTTAAATTCTACAAATTCATAGAATTCAAATAAAAAAATTTCATTAAGTTTGATTAGGCAGTCATTGAGATATCTTCACTCAAAAACAAAGAAAAATCAAAACACTTATCAAAATAAAAGCTGTGCCAAATTATTTTTAAAACTTTGAGCAAAGATATCTTAATAACCATTAAACAAAATCAATAAAACTTTTTTTATTTGAATTCTATAAACCTGAAAATATAAATATAAAAAATTATTAATTTTGATTAGGTGATCATCAAGATATCTTTACTTAAAGTTTAAAAATAATTTGATACAACTTTTATTTTGATAGATGTTTTGATTTTTCTTTGTCTTTCATCTAATCAAACTAGATAAAATTTTTTTATTTGAATTTTACGAATTAGCAGAATTCAAATAAAAAAAATTTTATCAAGTTTAATCTAGTAGTTATTGAGATATCTTTATTTAAAGTTTTAAAATTAATTTGGCATAGCTTCTATTTTGATAGATGTTTTGATTTTTTTCTAACTTTGAGCAAGAATAAATTGATAACAATATAACCAAATTTGATAAAAATTTTTTATTTGAATTCTATAAATCTGTAGAATTTAAATAAAAAACCTTTTATTAAAATTAACTAGGTAGTTGTTGAGATATTATTGCTTGAAGTTTAATTTTTTTTGTTTTCTGGGAGTATGAATACAAAATTCGAAAGTACAATTACCAGCCTCCTATATAAAACAAATAATAATTTTATTATTATTATTGTAATATATATAAATTTATCATAACAATTTGCAAAAAAATATTGGTAATAATAAGGATTGCTCTTTAAAATCTAATAAGAAATAGTATTTAGATAAAGATAAAATGCATTACATAAAGTCTATCAATATAATTATACAAAGAAAAAAACTGAGGTTGAAACTAAGCAAAAACTTCTTCATTTAGAAGTAGATAAACTCAAATTTTTTTTAAAAAAAATAAGAACATGAAAAAAATGAGAAAACCACTTTAGAAAAGATAAATTAGTATTTGAATATAAATTACAACTAGAATTAAAAACCAAAAAGCTTAAAATTAAATATAAAAATAAGATAATAATGAAAAATAAGTTGTAAAAAATTATTGCATCATATATATTTAGTTTTTTTTTATTATAGTTTTTTTTGATACTTGTATTTTGATATTATACTTGTATTAAATTTTTTATTATAAAAATAAAACTTGTTATTTGGATAAAACTTTTTAAAGTGTGTAATCCACCTAGTATCACCACCAATATCAAATTTATTTTCTAATATAATCAATATAATAATGATAGCATTTTGTTAATAATAATATGTAATAATAAAAATAACTATTTATTCTTTCTTTAATATTACAAAATAGAAAATCTAAAACTTTGTTTGTCTTATCAAATTATAAAATCTATTATTATATTTCAAAGTAATCAAAAAACATACTTTAAATATTCAATCTATATAAATATTGTACCTCAGATCAATTCTTGTATTAGGTCTAATCTGATGTATATCAGATACTAATTTTTATATAATGCATGTCACCTGGAAATTAGTCATTTAATGTGCGTCAGTTGTAGTCTGAAATGCGTTAGTTGTAAACTAATACACTGTTTACTATACTACTAAAATGTTTATCTGACCTTTAAGCATGAGTTAATATTTGTAACCATGGCTTGCATAACAAACAACCATCTACAAAAATTGGTCCTTTCTGTGATTTTTGACTAATCAAAATTCAAGACAGATATAACATAAACAATTAAAGCAACCTCATTTTTTTACAAAAAACAGAAATAACACAAAGAAACTACCTTCTGCAGAATTTTACTAGTAGAAACTCTATTGTTCTAACTCTAATCTTAACTTAACCCTAATCCAAACCACAATATTTTATTCTTAGTAAAAATTATAGAGTTAATTTTTGTGTGTGTGCTATCTAAGTCCATAACAAACACTGTGTGATGATACAGATTTATTTAATTTTTTAAATATGATCAAATTATTGATAATGATATAATAAATCATTATACAACAAACACTGTATAACAAAATTAAACCAACACTACCCTAACTTCAATTCTAGTGAAATGATGTAAAAAATTACTGTGAAACAACTTCAAAACCACTGTAAAACTACAAAGAAATCCATCACAAAATAATGAAAGAACTCACTGACAAGTAACAAAAAAAACCACCTTCAAACAAAGAAAGAATTCACTGTAAAGCAACAAAAGACCCACTATAAAACAACAAAAGACCTACCATACCATAAATGACACCATTAAATGACAAAGGGCTTACTGTAAACAACAAAAAAACCCACCTTGAAATGATAAAAGAACTCACCTTGAAACAGTGAAAAACCCACTGTGAAATGATGAAGAAATCTACTGTGAAACAACAAAAGACCTAACCATACCATAAAGATGAAAGACCCACTGTGAAATGATGAAAAGACTCAACAACAAAAAAAACCCACCTTTAAATGATGAAAGGACTTACTGTGAAATGATGAAAAACTACCTTTAAATGATTAAAGAATTCACTGTGAAACAATGAAAGAACCATGAAGGAAACCACCATGAAATTACAAAAGACCTACTGTGAAATGATGAAAGAACCTACAATGAAATTATAGTGAAGTGACAAATGAACTCACCGTAAAACTCAAAAGCGATGACTTCCAAAACTGACGACTCCAATGACGACTCCAACTGCTTTAAATGTGACAATACCAGTGGTGACTCAAACTGTGACGACACCAATGACGGCTCCAAGGGCGAACAAATATATCGGTTTTTTTTTTTTTTTTTTTTTTACGATTTTGAAGATCTTGCGTCAGACTACAACTGACGCACGTCAGATAACCAATTGCTAGGTGACATGCGTCACATGGAAATCGACATCTGACGCAATAATCGATCTGAGGCACAACATATATATCAAATTTTAAGCTCTACCCCAATTAAATATTAGAAATAATCAATTTACAAGACTACAAAATGCACTTATATACTTTTGACTCAAAATTTTACTAAACAACTTACCTATTATAGCTAATCTAAATCTTCGTTATTTATATTTATATCTAATTCCCAACTGAACAAACTACATCTTTTAATTTGTCCTTCTATAAATATTTCATCAACTCAAATTTTCAATCAACATATATCTCGGATACTGTACTTACTAATCAAAAAATCGAAAATACAACAATTACAACTATCTTCCAAAATACCCGCTTCAAACAATTTACAAACTTCATCTCAGAATTTAATTTGTCTCATACAAGAACAATTCTCCTAAATATTTACAACCAACTAGGTAGGAAGTGTGTACTTGTCATTTCCAGAGTTACCCAATGTCTAATTTTAGTGACATAAATGCATGAAGTAGTGGCACAACTTACTCAACACAGACGGCGATTAACGCTAAAGTTAATATTAAAATTTTTACTTTTTAAAAAAATTTATTGCCACACAAATAAAAATGCTTAAGATATAAAAAGTAATATATACTTAGTAATAGAACACTAAAACAAAATATATGAGTGTGTATATATAAAATATAATTTTATTATAGTTTAGATATTTATAACTACATTAATTACAGATAATAAAAATTGCATTTTAACAATAATAAGAACTCATTTACACATGGAATTATTCCTTGGTGAAATCTTTATATTCATAGTTTCAAGATATGTTTTAAATAATGTACTCTTGAAATTTAATTCATCGTACATTAAAGTAATATCATATTTTCTAAGAAATGTTGCCATGAATCCTTTTATCCAAATTAATGCCAATTTTTTTCCCGGGCACTGCCGGAGTCCTCCACCAAAGATTACAAAATTCTTTTTCAAACCTATATCTTCTTTAATAAACCTATCCGGATTATAAATTTCAGGATCTTTCCAATATTCAGGATGTTTATTTCCACCTTCATAGAACAACATAAATTCAGAATGTGCAGGCCAATTATAACCAAGTAAGTCATCGGGTCCAGTATTTTCACGGGGGACAGTATGGGCAGCATTATGAACTCTAATTGTTTCATTGATTACAGCTTCACAGTATTTTAACATGGAAAGATCTTCTAGTGTGAATGGGCGATCATAATCATTACCAAAAACTGAGTCAAGTTCTTGACGAACTTTTTGCAAAACCTTTGGATATTTGCACATATAATGAGTTATGACACAGACTGCAAATGTAGACTTTTATAAAAAATATATATAAAGTTGTAAGTATTAATTATTGTATAAAAAATAAGATAGTATTAAAATTATAATTATAATTACCGGTCCACCACCACCAAGAAAAGCGTCCAAAACATTACCCATGATTTCATGATCGGCCATAGGTCGTAAATCCAAATTACCATCTTTATCATTACTTCTCTTGGTATCCGCCATGATAAGAGATGTTAACATATCATTGGATATTTCACAATCTTTTTTTTCAAGTTCTTTTCTTCTTTCCCTAATAATTCCCAAAAATATACTATGCAAATTATCACGACTTTCTAATCCTATTTTTGTTAAATTTCTAAGCATGGGAAAATAATGCCTGATATAATAAGGGAAAATAGTAAATATCGGAAGTGAAGAAAAAAAATTTTCAAAGTTACTAATTAAATATTCAGAATCTTCTAATATAGCTAATGGAATATCAGTTTTTTTAGTAGTTAAGGTATTAAAGTAAGCAGGTAAAGAATAAGATCTTTTACTAGTAGTGATCACAGATACCATTTCGATAGTAAATCTACCCATCCATTTGCATAAATCAATTTTGTGATCATTACCGAGCATAATCCAATATTTTTCCATTTCTTTTAACATTTTATTAGTAGCATCAACAGCTTTAAGATTAAAACCAGGAGCGAGCATAACTTGATTAAAGAAATGACGATTATATTTCCAATCATCGACGTTCGCGTTTAACCATACACCTCGTTGAGCCATTCCAAGTTCTAAAGTACCTTCAGTTGCTCTCATACGAGATAACCACTTTGATTTAGTATTAAATGAATGTATTTTATCAAAGTATTCAGCACGACATAAGTAAATCTTGCGTGTAGGGCCTAACCAGACTTCAAATATGTCACCATATTGACGTTGAAGTTTGATAATCCATTCATTATATCCACCACGTTTGTTCCAAAGCTATAAAAAATTGATGATGAATTTTCATTTTAAAAAAATAAATAAAATTATACAGTAGCAGTAAATTTATAACTATTTTAATAAATTGAAATCAAAAAAATACAAACCGATCCAATTACAGGTAATGGAAATGGACCCGGAAGTTTGTTAATGCGATTAAAATATTTGGAATAAAAATCTCCAACATACAAGAATACTAAAAACAGCAATAAATTTAAGCAATTTTCAAAACTAATGGAAGATAATAGACTTTGAAATAATGCCATTTTGTTTTATTCTTTTAAAAATTTTTATAGACACTATATTTGTCTATAGGACAAAAAAAAAGCTCGAGTGAAGAATTCATTTTATAAGTTTCATAAATTTATTTGAAAGATCTGAAGGAGTACAGTTATCATTATTGTCTTTATTGAAGAAATAATATTCAACGTAAATAAAATTAATTTCACCATATCTGGATACTCCAGCATTTTATCATTTTTAGAGATTAAACGTTAAGATTATTTTCTTATCATCAATTTTGTTTATTTACTTGACATTTTGTTTATCGTTACTGTATTTATGTTTCCTTTTATTTATTTGCCTATCGTTATTTATATTTCCTGTTATTTATTTATTTACTTATGGTTATTATATTTCTTACCGTTATTTATATTTCTTATTATGCTATTATTCTAAGAATTTTTTAGTTTATTTTTTTTTAAATAAATCAAATGCCTTTATTCAAACCAATAATAATTACATGCGGATGTCGAGTTGTATGGATATTCCCATATTACTGGGGTACAAAGTATTTTAATTAGTTATATTATTTCAAGGAAATTTCTACCATTTGCTTATAAATATCTGTGACTATAATATGCGCGTATTCCAGGTTTAACTTGAACATCTTGGCGGCGCCATAAAGCTCCTATCTTTTTTTTTGCAAAACCTGTTTGAAATAAACTTTTAATCATGAAAAATATTTATCCAAATCAGATAAGTGCAAATATTTACACATAAAATATATTGTACAATTAACAGTGTTATAATAAATATAGTGTAACTTTGATATGATCACATCTGATATAGTCACATCTAATATAGTCACGTCTAATATAGTCACAACATTACAAACTCTATAATCACTAGATTTTTTGTTTTTAATTCTAAAAAAAAAATAATAATAAAAAAATAAAAATTTATCATTATTTTATCATTTATACTGTCTCGCAAAATTTACAACTGATTAGACTATCGTAATTAGGTTAAATTGGAGAAAGTCTCCGGACACCTACCAATTCACACGATGTAATATTTTTACAGTATACCCCTGCAATAGTTCTTTTTACCCTCAAAACCAACTTTACGGTCAAAAAATTTTTCTTCTTGAAAGCAAAAAACATGAAATTTCAGTTTACTTTGTTTGACTCGTGCGAACTAGTAAGCTAAATAAGATAGACATTATTGTTTTACAACCAGAACGTATTATTATTTCGTTATTTCCAAGTCTTGTAATTCGTGTTTTTCGCACTTTTAAAATTTCATTTTTGCTTGTAAATATTATTAGATAATTATTCACATAACGATGAAAAATTTTTATAAAATTAATTATATCAATCATTAATCATTCGAATCACATAATATTTAACCCAGGTTGATTATCGTTAACCAAGACTAGAGATAATTTTTATTCTGAATATAAAGTAATTTACACGAGTAAAAAATGAACGAAATAAAATAATAATAACAATGATAATAGATAATGATAATAATGATAATAGTAATGATAATAATGATAATAGTAATGATAATAATTATTCTTCGCATCTCGGACGAAGATAAACCTCCAATTTATCGCACCTATTATCTAAATCATAAGATTTAGCGAAAGAATTATCATCAACCAACTCCATTTTATATTTTCTAAAAATTAAAGTTACGAAAATTTTAGCACTAGTTAATGCTAAATGACGCCCAGGACACATTCTAAGTCCACCACCAAATGGTAAATGACTATTTTCTTCAATTTTTTCTTTTTCATTATCAAGGTGTCTTTCAGGTATGAATAATTCAGGATCGCGCCAATGAGCTTTAGTATTATGAATATAATAACTATGAATAAAGAATTCTTGTTTGGCTTTCCAATTAAAGCCAGCCACGGTATCTTCTTTAGATGATGCTTTAAAAATAAAGGGAATAACTGGAACCAATCGTAATGATTCTTTAAAACAAGCTTCGATATAATTTAATTTTATAATATCATCGTAGGTTACTGGTCGATTTATATCTTTACCAAGGACTCTATCGATCTCATCGTGAACCTTGGATTGTGCGGCAGGATTCTTTGCAATGTTATATAAAGTAAAACATATTCCAGAACCAAGCTATAAAATATAATATATTTTAAATTAGTTTTAAATTTCTAAATCTTTATTTTACAGCACTTTTTTTATAAATACTTACCGGATTAGTACCACCAGTGATTGTTTCAATCGTAACTCGCATGATTTCTTCATCAGTCATAGGCCTTCCAAATTCATCATTTTCATTATCAAATTGAGTACCGAGATGAGTATTAGAACAGATAAGAGAAGTTAAAATATCAGAACTTAATGTTTCTCCTTTTGGAGTATTCTCAATTTCTTTTCTTCTAACTTTTGTAATATTAATAAAATATTCATTTAACCAATTTATATTATATAAATACTTATCGTTAAGAAAATTAAAAGGTGGTATATAATGTCTAAGAAATTTTGGAAAGAAATAAAAGAAAACAATAGATTTTTGCCAAATTCGAATTCTATCCAACATTTCAATAGCTTGTTTTTGTTCAAAAGTAATTTTAGAATTATTATTAGTAAGATTATTATAATGGGTTAACATAGTTCCAGCAGGTTTTCTTGTAACTGTAGGAACAATTATATCATTTGTATATTTATATATCCAATCAGCTAAATCAATTTTCATAACTTTATTTCCTTTTGATAATTTTATCCAATAACTTTCTAATTCATCAAAAGTTTTTTCCATTATATGAACCAATTGTCGAAATAGTGAAGGTACCATAAGACTTCGACCTAACATTGCTCTATTAAATCTCCATGAATTCATATGATTATTAAGTCCCATTCCCATACCAGTCATTTTAATTTCATCAATCCAAGATCCTATGGCTCGATATGGAAATTTTGATTTTGGTGATGGATCATTAAGTTTTTTAATTAATTTTGCATCACCTATCCAAATCATACGTTTAGGACCAAAATAAATTTCAAGTATAGTTCCATATTTCTTTTGAAGTTTAACGAATACTTCGGCGTAATCTCCACGAAATAGATATGCATTACCTGAGAATAGAAAAGAATTATTCTTAAAAAATAAAAAATTATAAATAGTTATTATATTTACTATAAAATAAAAAACACATACCAATTATAGGAAAAGGTAAGGGACCTGGTAAAGGATTAGTACGCGTGAAATATGAAAAGTAATATTTAGCCGTGTAAAGCAGGACGATTAATAGAAAGGATGTTAACCAGTTGGTTAATGTTAAATAAGACATTGCGTTTTTTTTAAAAAAAAATTGATAAAATTTTTTATTATTCGGTAATGATAAAAATTCATGTTTTATAATAATTCATAAATATATCATACGTAATACAAAGTAGGTTAGTATCGATAACGATAATACAAATACAGTAATTTCATAATTTGCAAAACTTTTTTATCACATCAAAGAGGTGATTTCTACAGTGCAGCAGTAAGCTGTAACAATGATTTTCAACGATTCGGATGATTTTATTAAGAATTTCAAATTCTTATTCCAATTGATGTAAGCTTAGTCATCTATCAAGAGCGAAGAAACAGGTTTACACATAGGGCATATCTTTTTAATTCATTCGTTTTTTGCGTCATTCATTATACTATGAAATGACTTGATATCATTTAGTGCTCCGAAAGGGGTCAAAAATCCAGGGTACGACAGTATAGATAAAAAATTTGCCTAGAGATTGAGCTATAATAAATTACCGGATAACCGAATAATTTTAATAATACACGAGTAGAGATTTTCAAACCCGAGTTTGTTCGACAAATACGGGTTCAACCCCAAACCCGACCCGAATGACTCTTTCGGAGCACTAATTGTACTTAAATGGATAAGATATTCTATGACAGGACATGTGATAACTCAAAATTTTGTTTACCCCACTTTCCCAACAATTGTACACAAAGAAAAAAATAAACAAACATGGGTAAATGATATCGGAAAAATTTTTGATCATAATTTTCAATCAATAACGTCTATATTTTATTCAAATCGAAAAATCTACTAGAATCGGCTGATTTTTCATGATTTTACATGACATCATGATCTGCAGGGGTCACCCTTTTTCCAAACCGCCATATTACTATTATTAATTAATGTCGTAGGTGAGAACAGAATTCAAGTTGATTCGGATTTTTCAAGGTTAAGATTGGGATTTTTGGTATAATTATTCAGTTCTAATACTGTTCAAATCTAAATGGATTCCAAACCCATTATGATCCCATTCCCACGTACAACATACATACAGATTAGGTTGTTATTTTTTTTTTTTTACCAAGTACCCCCATGATCTTGATACGTATAATGATCTGGGTATTTTGGCGATATTACTAAACAAAATTACTAAACAAAAAAATCTTTATTAATTCTAAATAACTCTATATTATTAATTTTTTGCATATAGATTGTATGACTGTTATTCATGAGTTTACCATTAGTAATAATTAATAACAATTAGTAATAAAATCAACAATTAGTCTCTGATCTTTGTCAGGATACGAGAAGATTGCCAAGATATAGGGAGTTACTATTACAATGCCTTTGTTACATATAAGCATTAATTCCGTTTTTTTATATTTTTGTTTTTATTAGTGTCACAAGTCAGGCTTCCGCATCTTGTACTTATCGTTGTTTTTCGCGATTATAATATTTTCCTGTTAATTATTTTATTGGTTAACCATGTTAATAATATATGTACTAATATATGTACTGTACGTACTAATATATGTGTACATGACTGATAAATGATATCAAATTAAAACTATACTAGGAACTTATGAATGATTGGCGCTCTTTAAGATCTTCATGTTGATAATGAAAAGCAGGTTATTATTCAAGATATTTTGTTTATTTCATCCAATTGAACGATGATCGTTTTTGTTTTCTGTATTGTTTTGTAAATATATAATATTCACATATTACACAAAAATAGCACGTTAATTACTAAATTAGTCATTTATGACGTAGTCAATTGTAATACTCAAACTTTTTTTGATTCAGGAAATACGCGTATACGTATACCCAAGAAAATTTTAATTTTATTAAAATATAAAAAAAAACGCGAAAATAACACTAATAATCATAATAATAATCATAATAACACATAATAATAATAATAATAATATATAATAAAATAACAAATAATAAAATAATAACAACGTTATATTTATATGTACACGTATATTTTCTGAAGTGGTATCCGTAATCCTACGGATAGCTAATTTAAACCATTCCTTCTATATTTGTTCTTAGCCGTATATCTACCTGAAATTTTATGCCAATAAAAAGAACCAACTACTATATCTACTAATACATTGATATATTTACTTGTATCTTGATCCATTTTTAGTTTATACTGCATTAATCTATCAACAACTTCTTTGATTTGTGTCATTCGATTATTTATTAACACCACCGCGTAATCAATAGCTTCCCGTAATGAGTATTGATTTGAACGTTGTAAAACTATAATAATATTATCAACTTCCCCTTCCGTTAATTCTTTTTTGAGCGAATAAAGATCATTAATAAAACATATATGGTCATTACAATATTCCATAAGATTTTGCAACTCTTTATTATCATATGAAATTTGAATTCCGAGCAGAGGTTCAATCAAATTAAAACTTGTCATTACAGCTCCCGAATTCCTTCTGATCTTGATATATTCTTCAACAGAATTAGGAATATTATGTGAACGTTTATTACATGCATTTAAATAGCATGCATCAAAATAAAGTGAAATAGTATTGCGAAATTTAATTCTCCATTCTTCATTAGTAATTTTTTTCATTCTAGCCCATACATCCCATAACGCGATAGCGATTGAATTTTGAAATATTTCTGGTTGTGGATTATCATTTAAAATAGTCATGAATTTATTAAGTTCTTTTTTTATTTCTTCAGGTTTTCCTTTTAAATCTTTCTTTATATCGACAAAATCGTCGACAAAAAATAACCAATTAAAGAAATCGATAGCGAGACAACGTTTCTCGAAAGATGCAGTTGGAAATATATAACAAATAAGTAATCCAAACTTGCTTATTTTAAACTCTTTATTTGTAGTCTTTTTCGTAATCAAATCAAATTTCTTTGCCCATTCATAACAATGTTGTTCCATTTTTAATACTTCATCTTCTGTAACATGTTCATGTACATTTAATGGGAATTCACATTTCAATAATTTTAGAGATTGATTTAGTTCATTAAGAAATTCTTTATCATTCGATTTTGGTACAAATTGGTTTTTCAATAATTTCTCTTGTTTCGTTACTTCTTTCCATTCTTCTGTTAGTTTACCATCTTTTACTTTTATTGTCTTTCTTTTGCTTTTTGGCATCGTACGTTAATTACGCGTAATAAACACAAATAGAAGATACGTTGGATCTTCTAATTGCAAGATTTTTATAATTTTTATGACATTCCAAAATGTCCTAATTAATTTATGATATTCAATACGTAAGTAAGGGTGCTCTCAAGCACCTAAATCCATAGAGTTTTTAATTGGTGGGAAATAGTTTAGCCGATCAATTGAGTTCATTATCAAATGAGTTCATTATCGCTATGAAAAAAATGGTCTCTAACCATCTTTTTTTATCATAGAGTTATGTTGATTGGCTAAAATTTAATATCCGCATTTTGCAACATGAATCTTTAGTAAAATTGTCATAAAAATTACCAATCCCTTAGAGAGAAATGCTTGAGAGCACCCTAATTGAGAAAAAACCTTTTCATCTTTGTATATATGTATATCATCGACTTGTGATCTTGTGATTACACCTATCATTATGCATATCACAAAATTTAATCCCCGCGTACGTACGTATGTAACTGCTGAATTTCCACATATATCACATATCACCGTTGTGTACTCCGTTACGCGTAATTTACTGGTTTTTTTTTACAAATATTTATTACAATTTACGCTTACATAATTATTGTTTTCTTTTATCTTTCCGAATAAAATATCTATAATTGGCTAAGTTTCAAATTCATATAGACTTAAAAACTGTATGTTTTACGTAGTAAATACCATAAATTTATAATAATAAAATTTTATCTAATTGTTAAGATTTTATTTTAGATTTTATTAACACATTTGGTACTGGCGTATTTATTATTTGTTTAGATTCTTCATAGTTCTTGTCATAGTACTTGTCATAGAACGTGAAAAAAAACAAAACCAAATAAAATCGATTATATTTTAAATTAATTAATTCATTCATTATATTATAATTCTTTTTTTTTATATATATTTTCAATAATAAGTTTAATCATTGTTTCGATTCTATGCTTCTGAAATTCTAATTATTAAAAGGTATTGATTGAATGTAATCACGTTTTTTATGACGCTTTATTACGCGTAAATAAGTGCAATGGTTTTTTTCTATTTGGCATCTTATTGGCCAAATAAATCTATTATTTGCATCTCCCTGCAGGATAATAAATTATTGTAGTAAATTGTTCATTCATGATAAAAAATGCCTAGAAAAAATTTCATAGAACAAAAATTTCTAGACTATATTTAGTTATTTTACAAGTTATTATGGCTAGCTTTAAAAAGTTAATCCATTTACTTTATTGAGAATCAAATAATGCTTTGCTTGATTCCAGATGATCCGAATATCCTACAGGCTAATTAGTGATAATCTTTAACCACTTTAATTTCTGTTTTGTTTACAAATCTCATAATACCTTACGTACGTATGACTTTTGTTTTTTGGCCGTTGGCATTAATAGAAATTTGGGAATCTTATCTATCCTTGTGACCTTCAGCGATCAAGAGACTAAGACCAATATAGCAATGGGAACAAAAGACAAAAACAAGTTTGAAAATAGATATCTTTAATTTTACTAGCAGACATCCGTATAAAAATATCATTCAAATCCTGATTCGTTAATAGAAATTTGGGAATCTTATCTATCCTTGTGACCTTCGGCGATCAAGAGACTAAGACCAATATAGCAATGGGAACAAAAGACAAAAACAAGTTTGAAAATAGATATCTTTAATTT